ACTAGTTTCTAAAAAACTATAAAGTTTGAGGACTTAGTTTGCAATAAAAATCATTTCATTAAGGACAAAATTGACTTTTACATAATAAAAAAAAACCCAAATGGATCATTTTACCAGACTATTTTGGAAATTCTCCCATCCTTGAGTCCAGGACCCGACCCGACCCGACCCGAAGTTATGAATTGGCTGGGAGTAAATGACGAGAACAATAATGGTGGAGAGTAATGACAATAAATTGGCTGGGAGTGTGAAATCCAAGAAATCGGTGAGCTGGAGCCAAGAATTGGTGATGGAATCGACGATACTGAGGGATTACGATCGTGGATCTGATAATCCCAATGTCAATCACTCGCCTGCAACTTCCAGCAATTCCTTGTCCGCCAATTTGAGAGTCAGTACTTTTTATGTGTACATTCAATCCCCTTAATTGCATATTTGGATTTTTTTTCGTGTTGAAAATTGAGGTGCGGATTAAAATATATGATTTTTCTTTTTCGGTTTTATATTCGTTTTCGATTTAATGTAGGCGTGTTTTATTATATATAACAACGTAAACAGAGAAAACATTGATGTATATTTATATGCCTGACTTACTAGGAATACCCAGCTGCACGCACAAGTTTTGAACTTTGATGTGCTAACGAAATTACAGCAAAAATAGGTCATTGGTTTGTCAACCTTTTTCTTTTGTGATTCTACTATGTTTGTGTAATCTAGCTGTTGTAATGCTTTTGATTATATTTTATTTGGCGTCTAAGTTGATAAACTTTTATATTCAACTTTCACTAAGTTTAGAGTGAATTTGGCGTGTCTAAGTATAGTAGTGGTGTTGTTTTTGATGGAACTGCTTGATGTGGAGTTTTACTATGATGAATTCTGAAGTTAGTGGTGTTTATTTTTTGTTCTAGACACGATGAAAAGTGTGAAGAATGTGCTTGGGAGACGGCGGAAGAAAGTTGGAGAAGCAACAATGCAGGCTAAAGATCTTGCTGGGAACACTTGGCAGTACCGTGAGTTTTCTAGTTTTTTATGTTTGTGTTCATTTGATTCAATGTGAAGTTATAAATTCCACGAACAAGAAGCTTTTGCATGCCATCGCACTATAATTTCTTTCCCTCTCATGTAAAATTCCCATGAGATGGAGTTGGACTTTGTAGCGGCTCGGCCTTTATGCCCAAGCTGTTAACTTATGTATTGTCCGCTCTAGAAGAGTTTGCGCTCATCTTACCCCTCATGGATTTCTGTCGCGTCTCTAGGATTCGGACACACCAGTATTCAACTTATATTTCTCATTAGGCAGAGGTCTTAAATTCGAATTTGGGGGACGCGATAGAAAGTCGTGAAGTGGTAAGTGGGCATATGTCCACTCAGAGCAGACAATACGTATGATATAACGACTTGGATATAGAGGTTGGGTTGTTACAAAAAATGACTTGCCTAATTGGTACCAAAATTCAATTTAAATCTCTCATTAGGCAGATGTCTTGCTTTGGAATCCGGAGGACACGATAGAAAGTCGTAAGGGGGGTAAGTGGGCAAATGTCCACCCTATGCTCAAGTTGTTAACTTACGTACTGTCCGCTCTGGAGAGCTTGAGCCTATCTTATCCTTCACAAATTTCTGTCTCATCCTCAAGATTTGAATATATGACTACCCCTCATTGAATCTTGGTGCCAATTGGACAACTAGGATTCAATTTAAGTTTCTCATTAGGCAAAAATCTTGAGTTTAAATCTTGGATGACGCGATAGAAAATCGTGAGGGAGTAAATGATCGGATGTCTACCCAAGGTGGACAATACGTATGATATAACGGCTTGGACATAGAGATCGAGTCGTTACAGACTTAGTTTGGGACCTTATAGTTATGTATAACTGAAGTTCTGGAAAATGCAACATTTCATTCTACACAAACAGCTTACATGCACAAAGTAGTCTGGGAGGAAGGGTCGATTGGGTGTTCTCGTTGAGGCGATAGTTGAAAAGTGAGGCTGCATGTAGGGAGAGTCACGGTAGTAGCAATGCTCTGATTTGTTGAGTGTGTGGTTAATGTTGGGCTTAGAAATATACTGTTTCCTTGTTACCCTTCATTTATGCTTATGAACATATGCAGTGCTTCTATTGTTATTCTTCGTAGTTACTCGCAGTGACGTGGTCAAGCCTGCCAGTTGAATTCTATTGAAGCTGCTATTCATGGCTTTACAGACTCCTGTTGGGGTTCCCTTTCAGACAATGTTAGTTTTAGTGTAATTTAATGAGCTCCTTCCTAGTTACATGGTGCAATGGTACATGATATAAGTAAGAAAAAATGTTATATAAATATATATGAACATATTTAGATCAAGTTTATATTGGAGATAAGGCTTTCATTTGTTGTTAGTTTGATTTTAGTTATACAAATTTATGTAGATCACCATCTGATTTCCTCACTGTCCCCTAGCCATTGGCATGTCACCACCTTTCTTAACACTTTTTACTGCCCCACCTCACTCACGTGCCAGCAAACAGTATTATGTTTTAGATTACAATGGATGACAATAATCTTGGAAGATTAGATAATACCGGATACCATATTTTATGCAGAGAATACGTGTAGACTGTAGTTGACTTTTCATAACAGATAATCTTTGGTTTGTTGGATATTTCATTTGTATGTAATTTATATTATGCATAGGAGTTCTTAATTTGTTGCTCAGAAAATCTTCTAATGTGTTTTGATCAATCCTGACATTTGTAGCTGGATATTGTTGTCTGACATAAGAAAGGTGGCACTAACCTTCACATAATTGTATCCTTTAGATTCTATACAAGGGGCCATGAAGAGTTTGTGCTTTAGTTTAGTTTATTTTTGTTCTTGTGAAACTGTGCAATTTTCTGGCTTGGTTTAGGTTTTTCACTTTATACTTTTACATTCAGACCTATTATACTGTTATACAGTGGACGAGCTAAACTTCCACTCCCATACCTCTCTTTCCCATTTGTTTGGAGTAACTGAATTGTGCGATGTCTCTCTCTCTCTCTCTCTTTTTTTTTTTCATGAAACAGTGAAAACGAGCCCCAGTCTAGCTGATGCTGCCTTGGGAAGAATTGCACAAGGAACAAAGGTTCTAGCTGAAGGTGGTTATGAGAAAATATTTCGACAAACATTTGAGACAGTTCCCGAGGAGCAACTGCAAGATACATATGCATGTTACTTATCCACATCCTCTGGTCCAGTAATGGGTGTATTGTACGTCTCTTCTGCTAAGCTTGCATTTTGTAGTGATAATCCACTTTCATATAAAGCTGGTGACAAGACTGAATGGAGCCATTATAAGATGCTCTACTATGTTCTCTCTAAAATGGGCTTTTTATGTGGTTGTGTTCCTTTTTCTTTCATTGTGACGAATAATTTATTTTTGAGCTACCAAATCTTCATCCGGTCATTACAAGATATAGTATACATTAAACATACGAGAATTTTGCAATGAGTTGCAATTACTTGTACCTTGATTTGTTGAATATAGATGCAACTAACTTAATTATCCTCGATCTAATCCTTAGAGATTTGTGCCAACAATAAGAAGAAGAAGAAGAAGCTACCTTTTTCCTGCATCTATGAAAGCAGCTAGTGCCCAATAAAACCTGGAGATTCCGGCCATGACTTTCTTTTAAAACAAAAATTCATTCATGTAACCTCTTTTAAACTATTCGAAGATTTTATTCTCCATCTTTCGCATTTTATACCATCCTATGTATAAAAATAGAACCATTTGAAAAGAAAAATCTAGCTAAAATTACTATCGGCGCATGTGTGTAGTAATTTGACAAAGAATAAGAAAATAAACAAGAAAAAAAAGGATCGATGAAGAGAAGAAATTAGGGCAAAGAAGAAATCAATTTATTCAGATATTCAAGGGTGCATATTTCAATGAAGAAGCACTCTATATAGAGCAACTCATCCAAAATCAATAGAATTTGTAATAAACTAGAATTTTGTCAAAATATTAAAAATAACCTAATCTAATTTAAACAACTATAATTTAAATTTAACTCTATTTTAAAATCTTATCTATATCATATCTAATCTCAATCATTTCTCATCGATTGATAGAACTCGACTCCGACGAGATAGACTGAACTTCATACTTCAAGGAAGACGATCTTTTATCTTGACGAAGTGTTTGAATTGAATCCTTGACAACAACATATGACCGAACTCATACAATGGAGGTGATTTTTTTATATAAAACAAGAAAAGCAAAAAAAAAAAAAAAATTCAACATAAAAGAAATTGGTACCTCACGAAACTCAAAAGAGTCGAACAGTGTCTGAGTATCTATTTATATTGTATTCTCGAGTTATTAATTTAAGCAACATGAACAGTAATGATGAACTTTTCTGCAATTTTTTTTTAAAAAAAAAATTGGAAAAACTAAAATTGAACATAAATTTATTGCCCAAACATTTGTCTTGGAGCTGCCAGCTACAGGATCTAGTTGGATTTTTGATTTGATGATGATGATAGTGATGCGTTGAGGTTTTGTGAGTAGTGGGCTTGGGTGTGGGCTGTTGAGGTTTGGTTTAGTGTTGGGGTACTGGATTTGGTACTATGCCTGTTTATATGGGCAGGTATAATTGGGTTAGGGTATATTTAAGCTTTGGCTTTAGTTTGTGTTTCGAAGTGTGAGTGAGGCTGATGGATAAATAGGCTTGGGTAATGGATCGGATGTGTGCTGGCATGTTTGGGGCTTTATTGAACAAATGGGCAGCAGCAATTATAAAAGCAGGGAAGAAAAAGGAATTGAATTTTTTGGGAACTAAATGTGAAAAGGAAAAATTGGGAACAACTTTTACTGCTGCCTGATTGTTCTGCTCCTCAATTCGTGTATTGTGGTGGCCTGGTTATTTGGTGTATGGTTTGGATGGAAACGGCTGGTTGGTTAAAGTTTGTGAATTTTTGGATTTGAAATGAAAGATGCCAGACTAAAGGAGAACAGCATGCTCTGATACCAGATTGAAACATGAGCATAGTAATTTGATACAGAACAAGAAAATGAACACAAAAAGAAAGGGGATCAAAGAGAAGAAGAAATTAGGGCGAAGAAGAAATCATTTTATTTATAGATACTACTAGTGTGGTTAACGTGCATTGCACGTTAGTTGGTTAATGTTGAAAATAAATATATGTAAATTTTAGAGAAATTCATTCGTCAAAATGAAAGATATTCATAAATTAGTTCAAATAAACTCACTTGTCGTCTATTTTCTTTGTACATTTTTGATTCTTCATATGAACATTTGATATTAANAAGTTGTTTGTGTTAGGAACCTCATTACTTAGTTTAAAGTTCTAATGATGAGAAATTTGAATGTTATTTTTGTTTCATTTTTAATCATATAATCTAACAAGGGGGCCAACCCCTTAAAACAACATATTCAATCGTCAAGAAGTTAGAGATTGAAAATAATGGGGGTTACTATGCAGACTTTGCTGCAGCTATATTAGAAAATCATCGTTAAAATTAAAAATAAATAAATAAAAAATCTTCATAAAATTGAAAATCCACCACTGTACAAACGATAAACTAATAATAAGAATTAAAGACAGAGGCATCGAGGAATACGATCCATAAAGGAAAATGGCCTGATGTTTGAGAGTAGCTAGACATTTTGTATGCATTGGGGACTGAGGGATTACACCATTTGATAGAGGAATGCCAACTAGACCACACATTAATGTCTTTCCAAATGGTTAATCAAGATTATATCATAACTCAACTATGAAATCATAGATAGGAAGTGTTGAATACAACTAAGTGAACTTTGCATACCAGAAATCCCAAAATAGTAAGTCATAATGGAAGGAAGATGACTTCCTCAAATTGAATTCTTCCGGCTCAGCCAATTGATAACCTACACTATGATCAAAATAATAAAGTACTGTGATCATTTTGCCTCCAAGTATATAAAGAATGGGTACGTTTAGCATGTACTTTCAGTCTTTCACAATTAAATTACGAATTCACAATGAAGTTTTCATTCTATACAGAACTAAAACACTTAACTGATAGATTTGATCAACATGTATTGCTTAATGATAGTCTAGTTGTCATAGGCTCCTAGTGAACACAGGTTTGGGCTAAAGAGACATCTTGAAATCCTTTTTGGAACACTTCCAGCATGTATACAAGTCACTGATGTCCAAACAAGAACCATGAGTGGCACCCTATAATCCTCCATAAGATTTCGAAGCTAACTTGCAAGAAAAACTAGACGTCATATAGTTTCAAATAGCTAGAATGAAAATCATAAGAAATTGTTAATGCACATCTGTTCTAACTAGACTTAAAGTGAAAAGAAGCTCTTCTTAGAGTTTATTTGTATAATCATCTATATTTACTTACTAGTTCCACAACATCACGACCTTGTTTTTTGGCTTCTTAAAGCAGTTAGCAGTAGACCAAATATCGTAGTAGTTCTTTCTATAAAGTAAGCTGATGATTATTAACATTTATATGCTTTTATTATACAGGGCATAATTGCTAGAAACACAATTTAGAGGATGATTTCTACTTTGTAAGATCAAATTAGTTAAATGTCGTTTTATTGATGAATCACTAAACTAAACATGAAGTCATTCATACATTTGGAATGCTTTTCAAATTTGGAACATTAAATAGTTCTATTGAATAAATGGCACTAATATATATATATATATATACACATATATAAACATGTCATTTCACATAATAACTCATGCCAAAATTGACATAACATGTTTAAGAACAACCTGAGTAGCAATGGAGTCGAGCTCATCAAAGAGGAGGAGACATAGGAGCAAATTGCCAGCTTTATGAATATGGGTTAACATTTTTGTATAAGGTTGGGATAGTTTTAGTGCCTTAAGATCTTGTAACTCTTTTTGTAGCCTCCTGTTTTCTTTTGTTAGTGTTTCACAGCATTTATTCAAGAATTCATAACCCACTTCCGTTTGCTTCAGCTCTGTCCTGTATAAAAGATCATGGATTACTCATTAATAAATGGTTTAAAATAGCCTGGAAAAAAAAACTTTGTACGAAATTGGAAGCTAATATTCGATTTTCTTTATTCTTTGTTTGTTTCTTAAAAATGAAATATATTCTATTTTTATTTTTTTTCATGATATATAAACATATTATTGAAAAAGAGAAATTTTTTAATGATTTCCATGGGTTGAAGATGATACGTTGCTCTCCTGTTCTGAAACCAAACCTCAACTTGTCAAGGCCTAAGCTTTAGGTCCCTTGCAAAGGCTTGCTTTTGTTTCTAAGAAACCCAAAGATTATAATCAGGCACTTATATTTTGCATGTATGTATATAGGGAGAATTATAGGATTTAGAGTACTGTGTTGCTTAAAGCTTTCTTCCAAAAGGGCAGACTGGGCTTTAGTGAACCTAAGTGTCTTCTTCCATTAGAGTCATCTTCATCTTCATCACTAACTCTAGATACAACCTTTCCTATTTCAACCTCTTCTCTCTCTCCCTCTTACACAACCATTAGAAAAAGATGAAGCAGCACTATCTTGTCTAGACAAATCAGCAGACTTGGTTTTTCGCTGCCTCCACATGTCATCATATTATTGGTCCATACTGACCAATAGCATTTCTGAGGACGATCCGTACGTTACTTCAAATTAAAGCGTTGCGCTTTCGATCTAGCGGCCCATTTCGAATTGGACGCCTTCCCCCCTCTATAAATTGATTGTCNAGGAGACATAGGAGCAAATTGCCAGCTTTATGAATATGGGTTAACATTTTTGTATAAGGTTGGGATAGTTTTAGTGCCTTAAGATCTTGTAACTCTTTTTGTAGCCTCCTGTTTTCTTTTGTTAGTGTTTCACAGCATTTATTCAAGAATTCATAACCCACTTCCGTTTGCTTCAGCTCTGTCCTGTATAAAAGATCATGGATTACTCATTAATAAATGGTTTAAAATAGCCTGGAAAAAAAAACTTTGTACGAAATTGGAAGCTAATATTCGATTTTCTTTATTCTTTGTTTGTTTCTTAAAAATGAAATATATTCTATTTTTATTTTTTTTCATGATATATAAACATATTATTGAAAAAGAGAAATTTTTTAATGATTTCCATGGGTTGAAGATGATACGTTGCTCTCCTGTTCTGAAACCAAACCTCAACTTGTCAAGGCCTAAGCTTTAGGTCCCTTGCAAAGGCTTGCTTTTGTTTCTAAGAAACCCAAAGATTATAATCAGGCACTTATATTTTGCATGTATGTATATAGGGAGAATTATAGGATTTAGAGTACTGTGTTGCTTAAAGCTTTCTTCCAAAAGGGCAGACTGGGCTTTAGTGAACCTAAGTGTCTTCTTCCATTAGAGTCATCTTCATCTTCATCACTAACTCTAGATACAACCTTTCCTATTTCAACCTCTTCTCTCTCTCCCTCTTACACAACCATTAGAAAAAGATGAAGCAGCACTATCTTG